AATCGACATCTTTAACAAAAAAAAAAGAGAGATTAATCGACATAATATATGTATATATTTTTTCTCGATGATAAAAGCTCTATTTTGGTTTTGAAAACAATATATTTGTGTTAGAAAAAATTCAGATATTAATAAAAACAAGTGGCTAATTGATGAATTAAAAATATGTAACTAAAGTAAAAACCAAAACGAAAGATTTTATATTGTAAAATATTTAGATATCTTGTTTTTGTTTTTGATAAATAAATAAAGATATCTTGTTGACGAAAATAATTTAAAAACAAATTCTTGGTAGGTGGGAAGGATGAATAAATACCTTGATGAAGATGGGATTATCAGCTGATAGACTGACGTAAACGAGAAAAGGTCCACACACTATTCTCGCCAATGTGAATATAGTGGCAAAACACACCTATCATCAATTAATACAAAGCATGGTGGTGCTTAAGTTTTTAGAAACTTCATACAAAAAATAGATTTAACTTTGACTTAATAAAATATTGCTAAAAAACAAAAGACAATAATGCTAATAAACCAAAGAAGTAGATTTTTTTTAGTTAATGATATCAATACCGGTCTCACCACTGGAAACAGATTTATTATCAGTATCATAAAAAATCTCAAACAATAAACAAACATTAAAATTAATACTAAAAATTGTTAATTATACTCTATGAGTACCAACTATGTGCATGCTCTAACTAATAAATCTTCAACGTCAAATTTTTAGCAATTGCAATTGAAAATTATCATAATAAGACTACTATAGACATTTGTTTTCATATCCAGGTGACCCGGACTTTTATTATCCCACTAATCATTTTAGGTTAAGTGTAGCCGTTGTTGAACAACTATAGACATTTTAAGCAATAAAAATTACTTGATTTTTAAGGACAGAGATTAGTCTAGGTTTCGAGTTATAATCTACATCGGTTACTAATGAAATTAATTAGACCCACACTTAAAATATTTGAACTATTTTGTTTTAGTATTTTTAAGATTGTGTAGAAGTTACATCTAGCATTATTACATCTAGCATGGTTCTGTTTGCATTTAACTAGGAATTGATGATGGAGTAAGGACTACATTAACATGTTTAGTCTCGAGTTCGAAAAAAACTATGGACCAACTTAAAAAATGATAAATATATTTATTTTTTTAAAAACATTTCTATGAATTTTTAATATCTATCCATTTGTAAATTGTTAGATCACACAAGAAAGATGAATACAAATATAAGTATACTCACATCAGCGGCTAGATTGAGGCTGGTGTCTTTGTATCCAATCTCTTTGAGAATCTCCCTAAGGTGGAAAAAAGGACTCGATATTTCTGCTACCCATAGTGTAGCCACGATCTCAGATCCAGACTTCAAAAACAAGAAATGATACCAAAATTTTATAACCCAAATCTCATAAATCTTGTAGCTATAGTAAGTACTAAGTAGTAACCATTAATTTAAAGAAAATAATAATAAAAATACCTTTTGGTAAGCAAGTCCAGCTATAAAACCAAGAATGCTAACAAAATGATGAACCGCATTATCAATGCTAAACACTTTATCGAAATGGCAACATATAAGATCGTAGATCATGTACGATAACGAAAACGCCATCACGTCCATCTGCTTTGTGAATGTTTATCACAGTTTGGTTACAATTTGCAAGAAGAATGAATATGTAAATAGTTAAGTGAAGTGATGATGTGATTAAGAAGAACCTGTTTAGGAGATGGCTTAGAAGCAAGAGGACAAACAGGGCAAGATAAATCTTGAACAGAGAGTGTTGCTAAAGTGACAGCGATTGTCGCGTGAGCCGTGGACAGAAGACGGTTGCTGAAGCTGAATGAGTAGCTAGAGAAGACTCTCCGGGTGAGTATGAAGGCAACACCCCATGAGATTACTCCAAATACTATTATCTTAATAGCTCTTACTTGTTCTTCCTCCATATGATTAATCTCCTTTTTTTTTCAATCCAAGACAAAATTTTACTTGTTATGACAAAGAGAGATAGAGAGAATTAAAAAGATTTCAGTGATGTTAGTAGGCCGACATTATTGGTGGTATGTTAGTTGGGAATTTTGGGATTCAATGGTGTGGATCCCATAGACATTAATGTTTCTGGTAAAATTGACCTATAAAGATTTGATCCAAAGATTTAGGAAGTATTTCCTCTAGCTCCTAATTTTGCTTAAACTTGTAATCAGTTTTTGTTTCTTAGAGTATCTTAGGGTAAACATTATGTTCTTAAACACCGAGACCACCACATGGCTTTTCTATGAAATAAGTTGAGGTCAACTAGCTATTTTTTTTTTAAAAAAAGTCATCATCGGTAACCAATTTCTTTGAATTTTTTGACCAATTTATTCCAAAATTAACACAAAAAGACAAGAGGCCATAGTTGATAGATATGGAAATGCGTCTCATTTTTTGTTGCTCATGACTCATTGGATAGTCCGTATTATTTAAATTTTTATGTGTTATGTTATGTTGAACAAATTTAATTATATTTTAATATATATTTTTCTAAAATTTGAATTTTTTGTCTTAAGAAAAAACAGTTATCTTTTAATATAATATTTAACATTTAAGTGTGTTGGTGATTGTTTAAAAAAAAAGAGATGTTATTTATTTTATAAACTAATTCAATTGCATATTTTTTTGATGAAATGTGAGATTTATATATGAATAAAAATCTAAATATGTACAATATTTTATTGGTTTCCTTAGACTTTAATTAACCAAAACAGAGCAAAGAATTACAAAACAGAGCATGAAGCTATCTATGGTCGTGTAAGTCTCGAGCTAAACCATCGTTGCACCATACCACTATTCTTATCACTATATTTTGAACTATCTATATTTGTACCATTTCAAAACTCTGTACCACATCACCTATATATGTAAAACTTAACAAACTATATGTAGATGTAGTATCCACTCTATTCATAACTTCATGGAACAAAGCATACTAAAAACTAATATTTGTTGAAAACAAGACAAATCACAAATACTAAATTTTGAAAAGATAGATATTTGTTCCGCTTCAGGGTATATATACGATTCCCTATCATGGGTAGGTTGTCGATAGAATAATTAATTCGTTCTCGGCTAGTGTGTGTAAATAGAAAATGAGAAATGTTCAATATCTTTTCAAATGAAATAAAACAAAAAAAAGTCAACATCGTGTTGTAAATCATGCCCGAAACCAAAGAACTAAATTTTATAGACGTATCATTGCACTGTCGGAGACCGAAGCTTAATAGTATTTTATTTCTTACATCATTACACTCAACCTCTTTAAGACTCGCGGACAACGTGGGATATAATATAAAGATATCATTTTGAACTTATCCACGTTGAGTTTACTATCGAGAGATCAAAGAGGAGTGTGTGTCTACTTCGATTTCCCTACTTCAGCTAACTCTATGCTTAATCAAGCTAGCGGATGAAAATCTGTTTTCAAGTGTTTAGCTATATTCATACAAGATGTCAGCAAGTGGTAAAGGACCCTCAGCTCAGATACCCGCCAGTGGCAGATCCAGGCTCCAATTCTGTTTGGGGCACTTTATTTACAAAATAATAAATAAAATTTAATTAGCTAAATTATACGGAGTACATTATAATTATAAAAATTTTCTACCAAAGTTACAGTTCTGGGACTCGAACTTGAGTTATTATGGGGCACTTGTAGCTGTAAAACCATTTATGCTACCTAATTTTCATTGTACATTAATAGCTTATATAATATTTATAGGATTTAGTATGGGGCACATGCCCCACCCAGCTTCAACGTGGGTCCACCCCTGGTACCCGCCATCACGAGTTCGAGCCCCGGCCACTGCGGTATTCACATGCGGGCTGCAGCATTCTAGGAGCCGACACGTGGAGTGCCATTTGGCCGCCCACGTGGCTAGTTTGAGCGAACCGATAGTCTAACACGTGGACCCCTGCTCTGTCGGGTATTCGATAGCTACCACTTGGACTCCTGCTCTGTTGGCGAGCGTTGGGATACCTGGGTTACCAAAAAAAAAAAAAAAATGTCATGTTTTGCCTTCTCTCTCACACCCTTTTTGATTATGTGTTATCGATCTGTCCAACAAATAAAAACAAATCCCTTAACCAATTTGTTATCTCTCTGTTGTATTTTTGGTTTATTTATGGTTTGGTTTCTATAACTCGGGAAGTTATCGGTTTTCTGGACCCATGAGTATATTTGAAATTTACTTTAATATCCTCCGTAAAATAAATTCTAGGATATTTTCAAAGTAATATATCGGAATAAAACCACGATGATCTTTAACAATGGATTGGCTTTAACATATATACTAGATAAGAGTTCGTGGCAATTGTCAATTTGTCATGCTTCTGTTTAATTTTACGAATATTTTTATTTATTGTTAAATATATACATTTGATTACTAAATTTGTATTTATATAGAGATATCATTTGATCTGATCCACTAACTTAGCAAAATATTATAAACTATACACTATAAAATAGTAGACATGGATGGAAGCATAACATTAGAGGTCTCAAAATGGGTCAAGATTCATAGGTCAACCCAACTCAACTAAACCCATGAACCCTAATGAGTTGAAAATTTTGACTCAAATGAGTTGATGGATCAAATGAGTTATTGAGTCAAATGGGTTGATGGATCAAATGAGTTGGGTTGTAATGGGTCAATGGTTTCAATGGTTTACCCATTTAACCATCAATTTTTGTTAAATTGAATCAAACCAATTCAAATCTCTAAACCGATTTCAATTGGAGTCTAACCAAAACTTCTAAACCGATTGAATATAGTTTATAATTTTTATAAACTATAATTTTTAATTTTTAATTTATAATTTATAATTTTTAATCAGAAAATGAGAATGTGTAATTTTACCGCCAAAAACGTAAATCCGTGATTTTCCGCCAAATAATAGTGATGTTGATTATTTTATTATTATATATTAATTATTAATTTATTTATTACATAAATAGGTTAATGGGTCAACCCATTTAACCATCTAACCCATCAAATTAAATGAGTTCATGGGTTGACCCAACTCATTTGGTAAATGAGTTGGGTCAACCCATGAACTCATTTAACTCTAAACTCATTGGGTAATGAGTTGAGTTGAGTTGGGTTAACCATTTTGACACCCCTACATAACATGCATCACAGACTCGTTTGTCAAACCCAAAAAAAAAAAACATATTTTTCTCTTTGAAGATCAACGAGTTGATCCATGGTGATATCTCACATCCAGCCTCTACTTCTCCTTGCATGCCTCTTCTTCTTACCTGCTTTGCACGCTGTCGATTTTAAATACTGCAACGGTAAATATCGATTCGTTTAATTAGTCTTAAGTTACTTGCTGGGAATTTACCGTCTTGATATAGAACACATGTTCTTGTTATTTGACCAATCAATAGATTGTAGTTTGCTCATATCTCTATAAAAATAGTAACCTACTCTTAATTAATATTTGACATACCAAATATTTTTTTGGGTTTATTTTTGTAAGAAAAGATATGTAGAGTACTTGCCATGACTTAATCTTGATTTTGTTGTAGGTGTTGGATACCATACCTTTAGCATCACTAAAATGGAGTTCTCTCCCGACGCCTCAACCATTACAATGTTCGCGTTTGCTTGTATGAAATATATTTTAGAATCTTCTTCCCAAGTTTCAACTCTCCTTTTCTCTTTCTTTTTAGTTTCCGATATTATTTTTTTGATATTGTATAATCTTTTGTGCATACAGATGGACCTTGTCTAATTTAAATGTAGCCGTGTCCCGTAAACTTGGCGGAACGATTCTCCCTAGAATTTTCTACAACTTCTGTAAATTGGTTTCTTGCCCGATTTTACCTGGCAGCATCTTTGTTTTCACTCTTCCTGAAATTCCAGAAAAACAACTTGCAGTAAGTATTCTTACATTTTTCATAGCAAAAAAATATGATATAGAAAATTGAACCTAACTCTTTTTTTTTTTTTACATGTGAATTAGCATGAAGAGCTTATGGTAATATGGAGTTATCCAAGTGAAGAGCCAAGAACAGAAATAGCAATGTGTGTCTACTTTGATTACCCTACTTCCGTTGTCTCTGCTTAAACAAATGGGCGGGTTAAAATATGTTTTCAAGTCTTTATCTATATGAATCTCTCACGGTACCCTTTAATTATGTGTTGTCCAACAAATTTAAAACAAAACACTTAATGGATATCGGTCTCTCTTTTGTATTTTTTGGTTTGGTTTCTATGAACTAGGATGTTATCGGTTACCCCTTCAGACCAAAGATGATGATTTTTCAATTTTACTAAATGTTATGGCTCCTATCTAGGGGTGTCAAAATGGGTCAAGATTCATGGGTCAACCAAAACTCAACTCAACCCATGAACCCTAATGAGTTGAAAATTTTGACTCAAATGAGTTGATGGATCAAATGAGTTATTGAGTCAAATGAGTTGATGGATCAAATGAGTTGGGTTGTAATGGGTCAATGGTTTCAATGGTTTACCCATTTGACCTATCAATTTTTGTTAAATTGAATCAAACCAATTTAAATCTCTAAACCGATTTCAATTTAAGTCTAACCAAAACTTCTAAACCGATTAAATATAGTCTTTAATTTTCCCACCAAAAATGTGAATACACAATTTTCCCATCAAAATATAAATTCGTGATTTTCCCGCCAAAAAAATTTATAATTTTCAACAAAAAACGAAAATATGTAATTTTCCCGCCAAAAACGTAAACCCATGATTTTCCCGCCAAAAACGTAAACCCGTAATTTTCCCGCCAAAAACGTAAATCCGTGATTTTCCCGCCAAAATTTTTTATAATTTGTAACCAAAAATGAAAATGTAAAATTTTCCCGCCAAAAATGTAAAACCGAGATTTTCCCGCCAAAAACGTAAACCCGAGATTTTCCCGCCAAAATTTTTTATAATTTGTAACCAAAAATGAAAATGTAAAATTTTCCCGCCAAAAATGTAAACCCGAGATTTTCCCGCCAAAAACGTAAATCCGTGATTTTCCCGCCAAATTTTTTTATAATTTTTAACCAAAAATGAAAAATGTAAAATTTTCCCGCCAAAAACGTAAATCCATAATTTTCCCGCCAAAAACGTAAACCCATGATTTTCCCGCCAAAAACGTAAATCCGTAATTTTTCCGCCAAAAACATAAGTCCGTAATTTTCCCACCAAAAACGTAAATCCGTGATTTTCCCGCCAAAAATTTATAATTTTTAACCCAAAACAAAAATGTGTAATTTTTCCGCCAAAAACGTAAATCCGTGATTTTTCCGCCAAATAATAGTGATGTTGATGATGATGATTATTATTATTATTATATTTTAATTATTAATTTATTTATTACATTAATAGGTTAATGGGTCAACCCATTTAACCTTCTAACCCATCAAATTAAATGAGTTCATGGGTTGACTCAACTCATTTGCTTAAATGAGTTGAGTCAACCCATGAACTCATTTAACTCTAAACTCATTGGGTAATGAGTTGAGTTGAGTTGGGTTAACCATTTTGACACCCCTACTCCTATCGCTCACTATAAAATGAAATCTAAAATATTTGCCAAAGAAATTGTTCGGAAACGAACCCAAACGTACTAATCATATTTGCCAAAATGATGTCTAACAATAAGACTTTATGAGTTGTTTAAATCCGGACCAAACGTACTAGTCCAATCCCAATTCAAGCAAGTTTTAATATGATCAAAATCTATTATAGGAAAAAAGAAGAAATGCATTCTCCAAAAAAGTGAAAAAGAAAAAAAAAAAACGTAGACAAAAGAATTTAGAAATGTGGAAACCCTAAGACTTAACAAATCGTTTTGTACTATTGCAGTATTTAAAATCGACGGCATGCAAAGAAGGTTAGAAGAAGAGTGATGCAAGGAAAAGAAGCAGAGGCTGGACGTGAGATATGGCCATTGCTCGTCGATCTTTCAAAGCGGAAAAATATATTTTTTGTTTGTCAAAAACAAACAAGTGTGTAATACATCTAATGCTTAATTAATGCCTACTATTTTATAGTCTATAGATTATAATATTTTGATGAATTAGTGGATCGGATCAAAATGATATTCCTATATTATATCCCATGTTGTAAGCGTGTCTTAAGAAATTGAGTGTAATGATGTCAGAAATAATATATTAAAGCTTCAGTCTCATATAGTTCAATGAGACTTCTATTAAATTTAGTTCTTTGGCAGGGCCATAAGGTTCGGGGCTTCGGGCATGATTTCCAACACGATGTTAATTTTTTGTTTTATTTTATTGCCATTGAGAAACATGAACTAGGCACCAAATAATTCTCCTAATTAAAAAATTATTTTCTTTACTCTTAACATGCAAAAAAAATCTTGTGATTTTCTACTTTAATTGCCGTTGACAATTAATATTTTTAAATTGATTAACTTGGTTTTAATTTATTTTAAAGTTTCTTAACTATACATGAAAGAAATATCTTGTGATTTTCTACTTTTACATTGTAATATATATTTTTTTCGGCAACATTATAATTAGAAAAGAACTTATATGGTACTATTAATTGTTTAATTTTACCATCCATTTGTCATTGCAGTTTTTATTTTTAAATTACAAATTTATTATCATTTTTAGTATAATATTATTAATCTATAGTATGTTTTTAATCTATATCTCTCTCATAATTTATTTTTTAAGCATATATTCTCTTTTTTTTTTACTATAGTGTTTTTATATGAAAGTATCTGCTATGTTAATAAGTAAAAGAATTTACATAAAAATTGAGCAAAATAAAATATTAAATAAAAAATTAAAATTGGATACCTAAAAGTTTTATATTATTACATATAATATCAGAAATTGCAGAGTATGAATTGTTAGGATGTTTTGGTGACCGTGAATGGTAAATTTTTGATAAGATATTAACTTTCTAAAAATTCCAAGTTGTAGAATTTTAGTTTCATGATACAAATAATATTATGAATCATAAAGGGATATAAAACGATACATGCATTTATTATTTTGGAAACACTTTCAATGTTGCATTTTGTGTTTGTATTAAATTTCTGAGTCAAATAGAGTCACAAATTTAACTCAAAAAGGAATAAAAAAACAGAGTCACAAAAATTCCATTGAGATTCCTGTTAAGTATTAACTACTTTAAGAAAAGATAAGAAATGCGCGAGTGATATGTAGCTTTGGAATTTTGTAATCACCTTATATATTGTCCTTACGTGTAGGTGAACACTACTTTTTGTAGTAAATTCATAATCCTCAAAGCGCCTCTTTATACCAAATGAAACAATGAAAGCAAACCATTTTAACTGAACAGACTACAATGTAAAATCCAGTCATCCATCTCCGGCATTAGCATGATCGGAACTTCCAGTGGCCATTTATTATATGATTAAAAATGTGTATGATATTTGATAAACTTGGACTTACCTTTCAGATGTGCCAAAAGCTTACCTGATACAAAACAAAATACATATGAACAATATCAATAAAAGAATAGTAAAGAAAAAGCAAACACTTCTAGTTAGGGGTGTCAAAATGGGTCAAGATTCATGGGTCAACCAAAACTCAACTCAACCCATGAACCCTAATGAGTTGAAAATTTTGACTCAAATGAGTTGATAGATCAAATGAGTTATTGAGTCAAATGGGTTGATGGATCAAATGAGTTGGGTTATAATGGGTCAGTGGTTTCAATGGTTTACCCATTTAACCCATCAATTTTTGTTAAATTGAATCAAACCAATTCAAATCTCTAAACCGATTTCAATTTGAGTCTAACCAAAACTTCTAAACCGATTGAATATAGTCCTTAATTTTCCCGCCAAAAATGTAAATACACAATTTTTCCATCAAAATATAAATTCGTGATTTTCCCACCAAAAACGTAAATCCACAATTTTCCCGCCAAAAGTTTTTATAATTTTTAACCAAAAACAAAAATATGTAATTTTCCCGCCAAAAACATAAATCCGTGATTTTCCCGCCAAAATTTTTTATAATTTTTAGCCAAAAATGAGAATGTAAAATTTTCCCGCCAAAAACGTAAATCCGTAATTTTCCTGCCAAATAATAGTGATGTTGATTATTATTATTATTATTATATTTTAATTATTAATTTATTTATTACATTAATAGGTTAATGAGTCAAACCATTTAACCTTCTAACCCATCAAATTAAATGAGTTGATGGGTTGACTCAACTCATTTACTAAATGAGTTGAGTCAACCCATCGACTCATTTAACTCTAAACTCATTGGGTAATGAGTTGAGTTGGGTTAACCATTTTGACACCCCTACTTCTAGTCATAGAAATTGAAAGCAAAAAATGGAACAAACATACGCAAATGAACAAATACGTTTTAAAAATAATTTCTTAAGATGCTAGAATTACAATACGTAACTAGATCATGATCCGTGCTACTGCTACAGCAGAGATTAAATTTTATTTAGTACAAAATTTTATATATTATCTATTTTTGGAATAAAGTCTTGATATTTTATAGTTGTAAATGAAAAAATATTAAGTTTTTTTTTGTCACTGCCTATATATAATATTAGAATAAATATATTTTTATTTTTATATATTACTCAATTATGGATAATTTTTCTTAAAATATGAAAATGGAAAGTAATATTATTTATAAAAAATAATATTATTTGAACAATGAGTTTATTTATGTTAACAACAACAAAATGAGATTGCATATAATTTGGTTAAATCAAAATATCATAAATGATCCGCATAAAAAATGTAGATTATTTTGAGTTAACTAAGGAAGTTAGCTATTATTTTTGAGTTAATTTAGGAAGTTTCTTTTTCATTTTGTAATTCTTTTGTTTTTGAAATGGAGAAGTATTTGAGCTAATTATGGAATTTTGCAATTATTCGCATAATCGAATATATTATGAATATTGGTATATAATAATATCAAATTCAACTCGTGCGTAGAGTCAATATTTTTATTTTATAATCTTAATGAATATATTGCTTGAAAATCAAAATTTTTAATATTTAGAGGTGTCAAACCTTATTTAAACCATCTCATCATATAATCTTAACATGTCATCTATTATAAGGACCATAACTTTTTCTATCATATAATACATTACATTTGACCTGCCGCATACTATAAAATTTTTTAAGAAATCAAATTAGATTATTTATTATATTTAAATTTTTGCTCTATTAAATGTTTATGATATTTTCAAAAGTTCCAAATTAAAATATTAAAAAGGTATATTGTAATATATAAAATTATGAATTTCAAAAAAGGAATTGTATTAATTTTTTTTGATAAACCCTAGGAATTGTATGAAGTTGAATATAAAGATTCAAATAGTTATAAAGATCATAAATCATTCCATCATATAACTACATTGTATTTAATCTGCCGCTTACTATAATTATTTTAAATATATATGTTTAAAAAATCAGATTAGAGTATCTATAATTTTTAACTTTTTGATCTATTAAGTATTTATGATGTTCTTTAAAAATACGAAGTTAAAATATTTCTTAATGTTCCAAATTAAATTATTAAAAAAATTTATTGTAGTATATATAAAATTATATATTTCAAATATAAATATTAAAATTTTGACCCGTTACCCAGTCTGAATTTTTGTTTTAAAAAAATATTACTCAAGTCTTAATATATGACCCGCTACAATTTTTTTCATAGATTGAACAATTTATATTCGTTTGAATATATACACAAAACTAAATTCAATTTCAAAATTAAATTCAATTTCAAAATTAAACACGTAGGTTCTAATACCACTGTTGAAATTTGTACTGGTTTATAATGATTTATAAAACTAATCACAAATTCAATTGCCAAAATTTATGTAAATATTGAATTAAATCTACTCATCAGATTATGAATATACCTGGATAGTTCGCAGCGGAAAAATAAACTGAAATAAACCGAAGTTGTAAAGCACTCCAAACGTGTTGCCTCTACTGGTATCCACACACATACAAATTGGATCGAACGGAGTACTAGTACCATATATAGATAAAATATCAAGAACTTAGACAAACTCTTTGTCTCTTGTATTTTAAGGTTTGGCGAGAGAATGTGTGTATGTTGATCATTGAGCGTAAAACATTATTATATATGCAAGACAAGTAACCTAATCATTTAGGTTAAATGATTACTAATAGCCCAATCCCAATTACCAAACTCATTCTCGAGGATGTTTAATAATTACTTCACCTCTTCCTTTTATCTCATGTGCACCATACATATATGTATATCATATATACATATATATCACATAACAAACATTTTTTTTATGTACACAAATATAAATATTTGTATATCTTATATGACATATATATTATATGGTGTCTTCAGAGTAACTAGCATCAAGGTACAATGTAGAAATATGATGCATCTTCTTCTCCTTCCCTTTTCACTTCTTTAGTTCCTCTTCAATTTCTTTCCATCAACTCTCACTCTTTTATGCTCCAAACATCCTCTTCAATTT